ACATAAGCAACACATATATTGATATCATCGCTTCAGAAATAACAAAGACAGGAGAAAGGAAAAACGTTTAGATCACCCCAGAGAGGGCTGGCTGACCCAAGGATACCTTTCACTCTAATTATTCGCTTCCTGAAATACTCAATTCTTTTCTAATTGTTCATATTCCACACTCCATTTCCCTTTGTGTTTTGCAACAATATGGATATTTCATATAGTGTAAAACGAACTCTAAACACGGAGGAACATTTAAATGATCTATGAATCAAAATGAAATTACTCCCACGTTCGGTTGTGCTGGGGGGGGGGGGAGCGGAAGAGGCGAGGGAGGAACGACACTGCTCAGTATATAAAGACGCCCATCATCACGGTCGCCACAGTTCGAACGCTCCAAGAGCTGAGAGTGCAAGCATGGCTCTACGATACCTGGTGAGTTGCCATTATGTTCTGAGATACATTTACTCGCCATATGTACTGGTGTGGGTGCGTTCATTAGCGCGCACACGAAATACCAGGTATATTATGGATGCAAGCATCATCAATATGGATTAATCTTACCATATTCTGTTTTTTTTCAGATTTCGCTTTCTTTGGCGGTCGCCGTTCTGGCCGACCAGACCTCACACGTCAGCATCAGTCTCGGCGGTGCTCCTGCTGTCACCATCACAGTTCCTCTCACCACGGAAGCCCTTCATACCACCATCAACCTACCTACCACACTCAGCCTTCCTACCATCCACAACCTTCCTACCACCCTGCTCCCGCTTATCACCACAGCCTTCCTATGAGCATCAACACGAGCCTGCTGTGCCAGAATGTGCTGCCAACACAACCAAAGCTTGGTGCCTCGAGGACGACCACTATCCCACCTACGAGATCAAACACGCAGCAGAGTACCACTACGAGAAGCTCCTCTCCCTCTATGCTGACGTAGCCGACCTCAACACCGAGCTGTCTGTCGACCGACCAAACACCCTGGAGGAGGAAACTTACTTGTGCCCATCAGAGACCGCTTACGTCAGGCCCCTTCGTGCCCTGAACACCGAGGGAAAATGGCGTGTCGTTGTCAACAATATCGATGCCCATTATCAGACTCTCACTCAGACTACACGCATCGAAGAGTGTCTCAGTTCCGCCGATGCATGTCCTCTGGTGCCTGAGTGCTACGAGTCCAAGTGTCTGCAGAAGTCCGTCTACCACCGCTTCCTTGTCTACGACTCCTATGATCAGTACTTCCCCTTCGCCATCGAGACCTTCAAGCTTCCCGCCAGCTGTGCTTGTCTCTTGGGCGCCTACACCATCGACCATTAGTCACCAAACACCTGATCTCAAGCCAAATTAGGGGGAAACGAAATGAACATGTTGAGGAAAATGCAATTGCAAACGCATCGTTTGCAAAGGACGTTGAGTTCCCCCGTCTCATGAAACATGAAAATAAATATTTTACGTAATCTATATTCTAATTTTCCTTCGCATAAGCATATCTTGGAATTCAGGAAGCATTTCTTGTCAGACGTTTGTTTATATTGGCATCGTTTTTATTTCTAACGAGTTTGGAATAGAAGTTTATTTAGGATTCATTTAAAGTTCTTATGCAGTACAAAATATCTTTTGCATATGACTATCTACAAAATACAAGTGATTTATGCACGTGCAAGGGTTTAAGCAGAATACTCGATTTTCATTCTCCACTCGTATTATGATAGTAGAGTAGATACTCACACATATATATACATACACATACATATATCATATGTACAGGTTTTCATTTATATATACATGTGCATGTGTAGGTATGTATATGTTTACATATATATAATATATGTGCTTGTCTCTTGGGCGTCTACACCATCGATCATTAGTCATTAAACACCTGATGTCGAGACACAGGAGGGATGTGTGGAACTTCACATGAATTTAACAATATTTTAACATACATGGCGACACGCCGTCTTTGGAATGACGTGAAGTTCGTATATATGTTTGTATGAATGTGCTTATATATATATATATATATATATATATATATATATATATATATATATATAACGTGTTTACGTATGCATGTCTGTACGACGACGCCCTCGAAACGAGGTCTGGTTTCATCCCTTTTGCATTAGCAAAATATGAGGAACGTCAGCCAGGCTGGACCAAAGTCTGTATCATTATGTAGTTCTCACTGTTTATTTAGGATCGCATGGATATAGTCATTTTCTCTCCCTGATCCCCCTTGTTCCTTCTGTGCTTTTGACACAGAAAGTAGCCGCCTTAAGATCATAACAAATCTATCGGACACCTTGGGTCCGTGTCCACCGCCGATCCCCTGCGGCAGTTCTCTTTCCTTGAACTTGGCCTTGAACTTGGCGATGAGGCGGTTGACTGTTACTTCATTCATTCCGGCACTCGATAACTTCTGGAAATTCATTTCATTGGTTTATTTCGAGGCATCAGAGAAAACCAACTCCATTTCCTGCCTAGATGACTTAGAAAGTTAAAACAAAGCAAAGGGATTTACGTTGGTCTGGGCCTTGTTAAGCTGTGCTCCGAGGAAACCCCCGGAATTGGTTTCCCTTGAAAATTTACACAGCTAAGTGATTTCGGAGAGTGGTTAATATACGTTGTGAAATAAATTTGAAAGTGACGTGATCGGTGCCTCAGTATTCTGTCTGGATGCGGATGCATTTTACGTGTCAACACATCACGGTTTTTTATTATTATTATTATTAATGGTCTTCATTGGTCCATAAATGCTTAATGTTATACTCCATATTTTTTCTTGTCCACAACTAAAAGGAAAGGGACAGAAACACAATACATAAGGCTGTGAATGAAACGGTGAATGAGACAATGAATGAATTATGGATTAAAGTTGAGCAGTAAATTACCGAATGAGGGGCTTTACCTTAATTAAAGAATTACCTCCACTAAAGAGATTTGAAAATATCTATGATTATACTACTTTCTTGCAGTGAAGATCCCTCCCTACACACGACTCTCCTTTGCTTATTTCACACTTACCGACCATTCGTATTCAACACATACATTACACTTATAATATCACCCAATTCCTACAATTGTCGACCACTCCATCATATTAATAGGATATCGCTCCCAGACGTTGAATGGGTCCTAGCATTACGTTCCTTTCCCATATCTAACAAAGTACAGTTTGAAATGCGTTTTGTTACGCAAGCACACACGACCATGAGCCTCCCGGGCAGCCAGATCCAAAACTGATCGCTTTCTTACGTAATTGCGTGAACTGCCAAGGTTTCCAGTTCATTCATCTCAGGAGAATTATCGGACTGTGAGAAGGAAACACTGAATTTCCGTCGCTTGAAATGGGACCTGGCTACAGTTACTCGCTCCGATGTGTGTAAGTATATGTATGTGTTCTTGTTTTTGTCTGTGAGTCTGTCATATATATGTATATATATACATACATATATATATATATATATATATATATATATATATATATATATATATATATATATATATATATATATATATATATATATATATATATATATATATATATATATATATATATATATACATATATATATTATATATGTATATATAGTATAAATATAATATGAATATATATATGTACATATAAGTATACAATATGCATATGAACATATGTCTATATATACGTAGACATATTTAGAGGTACATAAGTTGAAAGATAAATATTATATATCTATGAATATCCATCTTAGTACACACATTTATATAGATAAGATATATCATATAATAAATTATATATATGCATACATTTATACATATAGAGAATTACTGTTATATATGTGTGCATATGTTCATATATTGTATATGTATACATGATATATATATATATATATATATATATATATATATATATATATATATATATATATATATATATATATATATATATATATATATATATATATATATATATATATATATATATATATATATATATATATATTCATGTGAATATATTTATATATTATGTGTATATACATTCATATATATATACATATCTGTACATACATGAGTATTTATATACATACCTGTCTAAAGTATACTGCACATGTAACAGATATACACATATATAAATACAAAGTGTATATATTCATTATATGCGAATCCAGACAAACATCCACATCTTCATCTATACACACACAGGCACATATATTCATATATGTATGTTTTTGTCTCTTCCTGAATATGTGCGCGTGTAAATGTGTATATCTAAGCTACTTCTCGCCTTTTAGAACAGAGGAGAGGGAAGAACGCCCCAAGGTAGAGATTAGTTAACGTGTCTATATTGTTGGGGAAATAATGCCGACAGAGCCAGAAAACGACGCACTTTCACGCTTTTCTAACCTTGGCGCAGCGCATCTTCGTAGTGCGTGGGCGTGGCCAACGCATACGACGCCGTATATAAACTCGGTAATAACGAATGGGCAACAGTAGAAGCGATTCTCGTATCTATCTGCTCGTTTCATCATGGCTCTTACATTGGTAGGTTATGAACATTCTACAGTTAAAACTGTGTTCACTGTAATATCTGAAGATTTTGGTCCTTACAAAATGTTGATTTTTTCTAATGTTAATCTTTGCTTTCCAGTCGGTCGTTCTGGCATGCGCCGGAGTAGTTCTGGGCTCCGTCCACCCTCCAGCATATGGACATCACCCACAGCCTGCTTACGCTCATCATGCGCCTGCCTATGGTCATCATGCACCTGCTTACGGCCACAAGCATGCCTATGAGCACGCTTACTGCGACCCAAGTGTGGCCCCCGCATGCGCTGACAACTCCACTCTCTCCTACTGCTTGGAAGACGCTGAGTATCCCGAGTACGAGATCAAGGCTGCCATCACTGCCGATCACCTCTTCGCCAAGAAGTACGCTGACGTCGCCGACCAGTCTGCTGACGACCTGGTAGACATGATTACCAAGGACCAGGAGGAGGCCTTCGACTACTCTTACTACACTGGGGCCTCCACTGGGGACTCTCCCTACGATGCCACCACTGGGCTGGTCCTGAGGGTTACATCTGTCCCTCCGAAGTGGTGTATGCCATGCCCAAGCGTGCCCAGAATGTGGAAGGCAAGTGGCGCGTCATTGTCAACGACGTTCACTATTACAGCCAGACTGCCCGCCTCGAGACTTGTCTGTTCCCAGAGGCTGCTTGCCGCGCCCTTGCTCCTTGCTACCAGAGCCACTGCACCCAGAAGTCAGTGTACCACCGACTCCTCTCCTACGACCCATGTGACCCCTACAGGGGCCTCTTCATCGACATCTACAAGATGCCATCTGCCTGCTCATGCCACCTTCCCGCCTAACACGCCACCACAACGCTTCTCAACGAATCGCTCTTCACACACTAACACCATGGCCACCATGGAACCACGACAACCCCTGTAAGCCTTCAAGCGGAGAACACCCACGTGACTGGAGAACTGCTTTCTTCACGTACCGCCACAACCAGCTGAAGGGACGCTTCCGCCGCTCCTCCCCATTTCAATTTCCTTTTCATCTATGTAAACGAAAGATGCGAGAATCCAATGTGATATTTTTTATAAACATAATTGTTTAGCATATCTATATGATTTCTTACTCCTTGACACCTGTTATTTGCTGATTATGTTCTTAATCATTAGAATAGAAAGTAATAATAATCACTGTACTATCTGCAGTGACGATAGTTATTATTGCGATGATTAATATAATAATAACAGTCATAGCAATAGCAATCATAAAAGGATAGCAATGGTATTGACAATAATGATAATTCTTACCAAAAGAATTAGAACACGAAAAACAAAATATTAATGACAATAATCATATTAATGAAAAAAAGTAATAAGGAGTAATGGTATGGTTTACATTAATAACTAACAATTAGAAAAAGAAAACATGGAGGCAAAAGCGATAATGACGAAAGTGATGGTCATTGTATGATCTTTAAAGATATATGATGATGAAAATACTACTGCTAACAACAATGAAGATGATTAACGATAGAACCGTAATATTTTTCGTTTAAAAATGAATATATATATATATAATATATAATAAATATATATATATATATATATATATATAATATAATATATATATATATAGTAACATCATAATATGATGGATATTAGCAGATATTACTATCCTCGCGATTTTCTTAATGGATCTGTTGGAAAAATACAGCAAGGAATGGACAATACCGAAATAGGAACCACCAACATATTAGGGAAATTATTTCAGGTACACTGAGTTCAAGCACTACGATACAATTGGGAAAGAATCCGCATTTCCCAAATAGTGTGCAACAGTTTTCACATTTTATGA